GGGTATGGGTGTGGGTACAAATCACAAAAATTGGCAAAGCCCATCAACATCCACACACCCACACTTTCACGCACACGCACCCACACCCACTCCTTTATCATGTGATCAAATTCAAATCTATCCTTCGAGCGATGCATAATATTTCAATAGAATATTCCTTCATATTATCCATTTTCCCTATATTCATGAAGAATGTCATTATGTTCAAGTTTTGATTTGGCATCGAACAAAGTAAATGAATAGAACGCTAGTTAGAGTTCTTCATCTCATTTGACTTCATCTATCATGTCAACAAGTCTGAATCATTACTTCGAATTTAGCATAATAGTTGAATCGAAGTCTAATTAGAATAACTTATTTATCTTATGCTCTTCGATCATGGAGTTGAGTTCTAATTTTTAATTCGAAGTGAGTCAAATTCATGAATAGAATTCTTCTTAATAAGATTCATTTTTCGTTTGTTTAACCAATCTTTAATCAACGACAAATCTTTACTTCAAACTAAGCAACATGTTTAAATAGAATCCTGGTGAGAATTTTTCATTTCTTCCTTCGTCATTTAATCAAGTTCTAATCTTTGTCTGGAACTGAGTACAATATTTGAATAGAATTCTGATGAAAATTATTCATGTGTCTTATGTTAGTCGATTATGTAATCAATTACAAATATTTTTTTCCAAGTCATCGAAGTATTTCAATGGAACCATCCTTCGAATTAACCATTTTTTGTCTGGTTGTCACTCATGTAGTCAAGTTCAAACCTTTCGTTCTAATTGAGTAACATATCTAAATAGAATTCTGATTACAACTATTCATTTGCAGTCTGTTCGTTGATTCTGAAATTAAGTCCGCATCTTTCCTTGAAACTGACCAAAGTATTCACATAGAACTCTGCTTAGACTTATCTATTTATCATGCACTCGTCCATTATGCGTTCAAGTTCAAATCTATTCTTCGAACTGAGCAAAATATTTGAATAGAAATATATTTCGAATTAATCACCATCCGTCTGTTTCTCCATCATGGGATCAATTTCAAATTTATTCTTCGAGCTAAGTAAAATATGTGCATAGAATTCTGCTTAGACTTATCTGTTTGTCCTATGTCTACTGATCATGTAATCAATTCCGAATCTTTTACTCAAACTGATCAAAATATTTAAATAGTATCTTTATTGGAATTAACCATTAATCTTGTGTTTGTCAATCGTGTAATAAAGTTCAAATGCTTGCACCGAAATAAGTAAAAGAATTGAATAGGACACTCGTTAGAATTAATCATGTGTCAAGTATCGATTCATCATGTAATCAAGTCCAAATCTTAGCTCCGAAGTGGCCAAAATATTTATGTAGAACTATTTTTAGAATCAGCCATTTATCATGTGTTCGTCAATATTATACTGAAGTCCAAATCTTTTCTACAAACTGAGGAACGCATTTGAATAGAACTCTCGTTATAGTTATTTATTCGTCATGGGTTTGTCGATCATTTAATCAAGTCTCAATCTTCCCTTCACACAAAGCGACATATTTGAATAAAAATCTTTTTAGAATTATTTATTTGTTGTGTGTCCGTCGAGCAACTAATCAAGTCGAAATCTTTGCCTCTAACCAAGCAAAATATGTTAATAGAACTCTTTTGAAAATTATTCAGCTGTGGTGTGCTTGTCGGCATTGTTATCCAGAGCAAGCCTTTGCTTCAATATCAACAAAATATTTATCTAGAACTCTATTTGAAATTATTCATTTGTTGTGTGTTAGTCAATCTCGTAAATAAATTCAAATATTTGATTTGAAATGTGAAAAGATTTGTTTAGAACCATACTTAGAATTATTCGTCTTTCTTTCTTCTAAATTTTAGATTTAATTTGATAGATAAAGAAAAGAAAAAAAAGATGATAGCTAATCGATTAGTTGGTCTTCGTAATCAACTTGGATGTTGTTTTAGTATAAGTGGCTCTCTTTTTCAAGTATCATCAATAACAAAATCAGTTTTATCGTCACTATCGAAGACACCATCATTGGCTATTCTACCAGTCTCTTATTTGGTTTAGAAGGTCGTTATGCATCAGTATTATTGTCTGCAGCATCAAAACAAAATAAATTTGATTAGATAGATACTGATTTTTAAAAATCAGATCATCTTTTAAAGCAAAACAAATATATTAGTGATTTATTTCGTAAGTCAGGTGTATTACGTGAACAACGTTTGACTTTAATTAATGAATTAGGTTTATCTGATATGACAAGAACTGCTGTACAATAGAAACACTTGTGGATAATCGATGAATAAAAAAATTTGCCCAATTTGTTTCAGTTATGAATCGTTTAATGGCTGCCAATCGAGAAGAATTATTATGTCGAGTTATAATAGCTAAACCATTAGATGATAAATTACGTAATGAACTTGATTTGATATTACAACAATTTAGTAAAAAAGGTGAAAAACTTAATATTAAATATTCTTCTCTTTTATTTTAAAATCTTTTTTGATTAAGTTGTTCAATTAAAAAACTTTCGTCTTTTTTTTTGGTTTTTATTATGTTGCTGCATTTTTTTGTAATTGTAAATCTAAAATATTTAATGGGATTATAATCTTTTTATATTAATTATTTACCTCATTTTTCATTTAAAGTAACAAGTAATATGAAAGTTAAATCAATGTCTTTTTCCAATTCTAAAATATTGTTTTCAATTTCCATAATTATATTTTTAGGTTTTGATTTATTTGATTCAACTTGAAATGTTTCTACTTCAGCAGCAAATTTATTTGGTTTATATTCAAATGTTTCTCCATGAGCAGCAAATGTATTTGATTCATCGTGAAACGTTTCTTTTTCAACAACAAATTCACTTGATTTATATTCAAATGTTTCTTCTTCAGGTTTTTATTTATTCGGTTCATATTTTAATTTTTCAGCAGCATCAGCAGATTCACTTGATTTAGATGGAAATACTTTTCGTTCAAATATAAATTCATTTAGTTTACGTTCCTGTTCTCTTCGTTTAATTTCAGCTTGTTTTTGTTGTTCTAATGCTTTTTTACGATAATAAATATTCTTTAAATGACATATTGCCTCTCGTACCTAAAGAAAAATTTAAAAGTTACACGAAATTTTTTGGTCTTTTTCTTTACTTGAATACGACGATTTTCATAAGATATGTTGTTGTTTTTAGATCAGAAAATAACGAATGTAAAATGAATTTATTGATAACTAAAAAAATCAAATAAAAATGAATTTGTTTTTCAAAAGTTCAGAATTTCATTATTTTATTTCAATATATCTGTACAAATAGATAAAAACAAAATAAATACATAAGTTAAACTATTTCAATAGAAAAAAAACCTAAAGAAAATAAATTATGATCAAATTTGTTTCCACTGGTTGATTGTTTTCTTCATTATTTGATCGATCTATTTTAGTTGATTTGCAAATTTTTTTGTTCTTACAAGCATTGGATTTTTCTTCATATTGATCTTTTTCAGCATCAGCTAATTTTTGAAAATTTTGTTTTGTCTAAAATAGACATAAATGGAAATAAACTGAATCAAATTTGAATAATACTTGAGCATCACAAGATTTTCATGAAGCATCAAGTTCTGATAGAATTTCTTTTCGAGATAATCCTGAATTTTCACTCTAAAATTAGATATTTAATTTAATAAAAACCATTTCTTTAAAAATAAAATTTGATATTGTTTTTAATGCTGCTAAACGTACATTTACCTGAACGATTATGTAAACAGCCATAAACATCATTTAAATAAGCAGCAAATGTTAATGGAAATCTTTAAAAAACGACATAAGAAAATTTTCTTATTTGATAGATTTACTTTAGATAAAAATCATTCAATAAAAAAAACCATAATAGGAACTCTAACACTTTCAAATGTAGAAGTTTTTAATAAATCAAATAACATTTTTGCATGTGTTTCACATAGTTCAAATAATAGTAAAATAAATTTACATAAACATATTGTTGCATTTAATTGTAATGCTTCTTTACAATATTCATTTGGATGAAGAAGAATCTTAAAAACAAAAGTTTATTATTTTCAATCAGAAATCTGAAATCAACAAAAATAAACTTTATCTAGATCATGAATTGAAATTTTCCAAATAGAAATTGATTTTCCTTAACTGATATCAAATCTAAACATTGTGTGAAATACAAACGATCTAAGGTTTAGATTTTTTCAAAATATAAACTAAATAAATAACTGAATAGACTTCGATAAGTTGATTCTTATACGATCACCTTCAAGATTGCCTGAGAAATGTGTAGGATGTGCTAGTCATCGAATACAAATCATCGACAAAAAATATCTCGGACCTTCGGACATGACTATCAGGTTAGATTAAAAAACTTCATTGTGAGTATTTAGGGTACGGATCTAGTTTGAATCCGAGATCGAGACCAAAATTTCAGACCCGACGTGATCTACTGGTAGCTCTTCTATTTCTTGAACTCTTCTGAGCTATCACCTTTGATCTAACGAGAGAACATCCTCAACTATTGGTCACTGTTTGACCTCATATTTGAGTACAAGCAGGACTTGGTGAGACTAAGAAAAGCCTAAAAGAATTCGGGCCTATGGCGTACCTGGACGGTGATCTAATTATCTCAAGGGACGAAAAAATGGACTTTTTCACTGTTTTTTCAACCTCTTCGGTTCTTTTGTGTGGTTGTGATCTATAATTTTTAGTATAGAGTTTTCATTTAACACAACGATCTCGAATCGTTTCCTCTCAAACGATCGATCAAAACAAAGATATTATTAAATCGAGGCCATAATTTAATGGAAAACAATATGAATCCTCAGTTTGTCTGTTGTGCACATACACAGGAACAGAAATAAATGAGTTAGTGAAAACGATATTTATCGAAAATGAGATCCAATATAAGACACACCGTCATTAAAAACATGAAATGGAAGGACATTTCTCGTCATTAACCAACTCTTGCCAGTGAAAAGAATTCACAATTGAGTATTAAATGGAAACTCTATGTTAAAAGTTACAGATCAAAACCACACAAAGAACCAAGAAAAGTTGAAAAAACAGCGAAAAGTCCATTTTTTGATCCTTGAGATAATCAAATCTTCATCTAGGTACGCCGTGGATCCGAATTTTTTAAAGCTTTTCTTAGCCTCACCGAGCTCTGTTTGTATCCAAAATATGGGATCAAACGGGGTTCGACAGTTGGGTATGTTCCATCGTAAGTACAGGAATTTTGTTTTTTTTCTAATCTCGAAAAACATTATGCAGTGTTTGTTTTTATTAATGACTTGAATTTTTGTGATTCTTAAAATATCTATATCTTGTTATAAACATTTATTTGGACACATCATTACAAAAAACAGAGTAATACTGTCAAATCAACTGATCATCACAGGCCATATCATCAGTCTATGTCTTTTTGTGATGATACATCAAAATAAATATTTATCAAATGATAACACAAGAAATCGAAGTCATTAAGAGAATATTATTGTATGATAATTTTTGGATATGGAAAAAGACTAAATTTTTTGTGTTTCGATCAAAGGCGAAACAATACTTTTGAAGTATGTTAGCTTGATAATGTAACTTCTCATATGAAAAAAAATTGCTTGACAGAGTTCATTCAATAGTGAAGCTATAAGAGATATTTTCTGTTTTTTTAGCGATACATTTGTATGTAAACGTTGTTAAAGGATGATTAGTTATGTAAAATAATAGTTTGAGATTGTTTACTTGTTCAAGAATATTTTTACATTGCATTAATAATGACATTTTTTAACATAATGATTGAATATATAAATTAATTTCATTATCAACTGGATCTTTCGCTTCAGCATCACCAAATAACTTGACACATTTCATCATCTTGCTCATCATTAATTGTTTGATTATTTGTTGAATTTAACTAAATAAATTAAATTAAATCAAAAAAAGCTTTTATTTAAAATATTTAAATTTTACAACAAGATTTAATGAATTATTAGTTGTATTAGTAATTGATGTTGATTGATTTTCATCATCTTTATCTGGTGTTTTACGTTTTGTTCGTTTTTCATTTGATTTTTTTGTTTTTTGTTGTAATATTTTATTGTCTGATAATAATTGTTTAGCTTTTTTACGACGCAAAAGGTCATCTTTAATTGTACAATCAACATAATAAACAATTCCAACAGCTGATTTTCTTAAACAATTAAAAAATCGAACTTACATTAATGCTGAATTTGCATTTGTTTGTGAATGATGTTGTGATAATTGATTTTGATTATTATCATTACCAACATCTAAATAAAATTTCTTAAAAGAAAAAACAAATGAGAAATTTTTACTTTGAAAATCCATTGATTCAATAGATAAAGGTTGTGATTGAGATGATGTTGAAATCTTAAATAAACTACCTAGTTTAACACCTGTTTTAACAGCAAGTTTTTTTTATTATATTTTCAATATGTTTAATTGGACCATTTGCTAATTTAAAAATAACATCAAATACTGATTCCATCATTGGTGTCCATTGTCGATCAGATACATCATAAAAAGCTTTAAAAAAAGATAAAAAATTTAAATTTAAACTTTATTTTTGTTATTACTTGAAACAATAATATTAGCAAATATTTCAAATCAACGATGAGTTTTTGGTAAACGAAATTGTTTTGGTCTAATATCATTTTCAATCTATTTTAAAATAAATAAATAAAATATTAAGATTTTAAAATACCTTTTTTGGTGTTGCTGATAATTATAAAAGTAAACAAGAAATATATACAAAACGACAATTTTTTTCTTTAGCTTGAATAAGATCTGTTATATGATTTAATTTTGAACTAACTTCATTTCTATTAAATAAATACAAAATGAAAAATAATTAAATTTATTAATTTTACCCAACAATAAATGAAAGAATTTTTTCAGCAATAACATCTATATTATCATCTAATGGTGCTTTATAAAATTTTCATAAAGCTTCAGTTATAGGTTCAGTTACTATTTGTGTTCCTTTTATTAATTGTTTAAGAATTTCTTCAAAACATAATTCTTCAGAAAATGTTGCACCTTCAAGTGCACGAAACCAAATAAGACTAAACATTAAACGTAAACTTTGTTCAATATTTGGCAAAACAAGATGATAATGACGAAGATTAACAAAAAAATCTACTACTTGTTTACAATCAGTTAATGTAAAAGAATTAAATAAATAAACAACATGCCGATTTGTTTGTTCAATCAAATCCATAAATCGAAGACAATCTTAATAAATTAATTTCTTAAAAATAATTACTTTATATAAAGTAACAATTTCTTCTACTTGCATTATTTGTTCTTCAATTTCAACCCGATTTAGAATATTTTCAAAGTGATTGATCTTTATTTGAATTATTCTTTTCACTTTCTTCATCCTTTTTGATAAAATAAAATTCAATTTGCAAACTTTTTTATTAAGATATTTACTTGATTATTATTAACTTTTATTTCATTTTCATCATTAATACTTTTATCTTTATCATCATCAGATTGAATTTTTTCTTTTTCAATTTTCTTTTCTTCATTTTTAAGGTTCTGTAGGAAGTTCATTTAATTTTATGTTTCAGTATCATTTTGTCTTTCTTCAAATTGACCTCGAGTTGAATCTTATAATAAAATATATTCTTTATAAAAATCCTCTCAATTAAATAGACATACAATAACAAAATAAGGATTATTAAAAACCATATGTATAATAAATGTTACTGCTTCTTTTCGAACTGCACAAGTTGAATTTCTTAATTGATCAAGACCAAATTCAAATGCTCAAATATATTGTCTAATAGGAACTATTTTTTGTTGTACAATTGATATTCATAATCGTAAACAATATTGACGAACAAAAGCTGTTACATCAGATACATGTTCCTAATAAAATTTAAAATAAAAATTTTATTTAAAAATAAATTAAAACATATATGTAATATTTGTAAAAGATCATCACACATTTTTGTTTGTTCATCATCTGAATCATCTGATAAAAGAAGTTTGTCAATAATAGAACAAAATGCTGTTAAAGCTACAACACGAATATGATGACTCTAGAAGAAATAAATATTTTAGATTTATTTTTAATTTATATCATATGTATAGAAAATCGAAGAGTGAATAGATTAAGATAAGTAGAAGTGTAAATTGATTCATAGAGATATAATTTTTTGTAAAAAATTTTTCGCAATATCGTTGAAAATTCCAGACAAGGCGAATCTAAAAATCTCTTGGAAAAAGGGATATCGCCTTCTTTTCTAATATTCTCAATGTAGGAGGCAACCGGATCTACGAAAAATGATCGAACCAAAATTTTTTAATAAAAGAAAAAAGCTTTTTTTTTTAATCAGAAGCTTGAACTCTCAGGTGTACAGGCGAAACTCAGTGTTTTATCTAACGTAAAGGCCAAGAGGATGCGCCGCTTCAAAGACAGAGTTGACCCTCCTGGTTTTCGTAGTTGCTAAGTCGCATACTATGTGTTTGCCCTCTCAAAGTTTTAAATTGCTTCTCTGGAGGAGAAAATCTGGATAAAACACTGCCAAAATTGACACTAACTATTTTAATATACTAATATTACAGGAAACCAATAAGTTAGACAGATACAAAAAAAAGAAAAATAGCAGTTTCGAAATTATGAGTAAGTCCTTCTAATTGCTGTGGTAAGATTGTCTATATTGAGGATGTACCTGCAAGCTCGTCCTTAAGGTAGCAAATGTTACTAGAACAATTAGAAGGACTTGCCCATAATTTCTAAACTGATACTTTTTTTTAGTATTTGTCTGAATCATTAGTTTCGTATAACATTAGTATCAATTTCGTCTTTACACTTGAGAGTTCGAGATTTCTGTTAAAAAAAAAGCTTCTGTTCATTTATTAGAAAATTTTCGACCATCTTTCGCTTTTCTGTGCAAGCTCATCTTTCTCACATCTATGATTTGCTAGCTAAGTAATAATCCATTTATTTTCTCTTGAAATTTACTTCTGCTGTTAATAAATCAGTTGTTTGATTAATATGTGTTCGAATAATATGTGGATCAGGTCTAGTCATATCAATAATAAATGTTGCCATTGTTTTAGCAGCTGCATTATCAGCTTGTGTTGCAATAAAATTGGTTTCACAAATTTCTCTAAATTAAAAATAAATATTCGAAAAAAAAAAGAAAAAATAATAAATAAAACAAACTTTAATAATTCAGTAGACAATGATGTATATTGATCATCAGTCAAAAGTGAATTAAGAACAGTAATAAGTAAACTTGAATTACTATCATAAGGTTTTACTGCTTGAATAAATTGAATAGAAGCTTCTGAACTATAGAAAATAAAATCCGAATAAGAAAATTATTTTTTTTAACTTACCTCATGCATATTTCAATTTATCAATCATTATAGTAAGTATTAATGAAAGATTTTCTTTAACAATAAAATTTTTAGCAATATCTTGTCAACGAAGTAAATGATAACATCGTTTAGTTACACATCTGTAAAGAGTATATCGATTTTAGTAAATATTTAAAGAAAAGAAAAATTATTTTTTACTAAATCAATTGTTCATCGATGATTGATGAACCCCATAATGGTTTAATATGTGATCGAAGAATATCGCAAAGACCTTTTAAACATTTATCTCTTAATGCATCAGATGTTAAAATAGATTTTTCACTACTTTCTGTTTCTTTACCTTTTTAACCTTTCTATAACAAAAAAATAAAATTCTTTTAATTAAATAAACAAATATACTTTTGGTGCAAGCATATCAAAATCTGATGATTTATTTGATTGATCATTATCAAATCGAATAATATATTCAGCAAGAAGAGATGAAAGCATTTTAACAATATTTAAATGAAAATGTCGATCATCAACTGAAAGACAAATATGAATTGGTCATTGAGCTTCTGACATTTCACTTGTCGTTACTAATTTAATATATAACAAATAAATATATATATATAACAAACTGATTTTGTTACATCGAAGTAATATCTCAACTGTTTGAGAACGTCCACTGAATTGAAACTTTATCAAAATGACTAATTTAAAAAAAATAATTTTATTGAAAAAATATTAGAAAAAAATAATCTTTTTACATAGTAATACTATAGAATAATAGAAACATATCAAGAAATTCTTTTGGTTCTCGAATTCGTGATATATCTGAAATGAAGAATAAATATCTTTTACATAGAATATTTAATATGACTTTGTAAACGTGTATTAATAACTATCGCAAGATCAAGAAGATTTTGTACATAATAAGAACCTGTAGCAAGTTGTTTTTGAAGATCTTCAAATTGATTTGGTACATCACATGTTGTTCAACCATTCATTTCTACTTTACTATTTCGTACGGATATTCTTTTTTTTATCTCTTTCCTAGAACAAAACAAAAAGGAAAATAATAATATCGAAACTGTATTTTGAAAAAGAATCCTTTTCAACATAAATTCAAAACTATATTTTGAAAAAGAATCCTTTTCAAGATAAATTCAAAACTATATTTTGAAAAAGAATCCTTTTCAAGATAAATTCAAAACTATATTTTGAAAAAGAATCCTTTTCAAGATAAATTCAAAACTATATTTTGAAAAAGAATCCTTTTCGAAATAAATTCGAAACGTATAATATTTAAAACAAAATAGATGAAAATGTAAATAATTGATTTTAACAAACACAATAACAAATTTCTTATTGGTCATTTGTTCTTTGTTCTTAAAAGAAGAAACTATCAACCGACAGAAAGAGAGAAGGACATTATAGAGATCAATCTGACGTTCAATGGATTAAACAATAGGAAAAAGTTATTTTATTCTTATTTAAGTCAATATTATTAAGCAAAAAGATGGCTTCTGTCTTTAGAAGTTAAACAAAAAAGATTCAAATAAGATGTCGCTCTTCTACATGAGTAGATAGACAATATTATGTTTAGTGATTGAAAAACATACACTATTCTGATCGTGGTCTTATTAATAAAGTGGTACTTGTTTAAAATTTAATCACACTCTGATTCTCATATTATTTGTGTGCTTGTGTATATGAGAGTATGATTAAGATAAATAAGTACCTAATGATTAGAATAGCGTATAGCTACGTTGTACATTTGTCAAACGATGTTCATGGTAGTTAATAATGGTATTCGTGAAAGGAAACTGGATGATTAAGTTGCTTATTTATTGATGAACCAAGATAGAAGAAGTCTTATCAAGATTTTCAACTTCTTTCATACTTGCTTTTGTTGATAAAGATAAACTAATTTTTTAGTTTCAATTGTGATCATTTCCTGTCGGCTTGAAAAGAAAGCCGAAGCTTGATTTTACTATCATCTTAACAATCTTTTTATCATTTTTTAATAAAAAAACTTCAAGATAATCTTAAAAAACCTGCAAATTCAGTTCCTTTTATTGTACATGTATGATTATAAATTAAATATTTCTCCTTATGCTTTATTATTCTTTGATTATATTATTTAGAATTAATAGCATTTCAAAAGAATAAATTTTCTGTTAGAATTATTACATATTTATTAAATTTAAAAGAATATATACAATGATTAAAGTTTTTTTCAATACAATACAATAAATTAAATGATTAGAGCGATTTTTAAACGATTGTGCATCTTTCATTCTTTTGATAAATACGTAGAATTAAAATAATAACAATAATTGTTGATATATCAATGCTAATGAGATATTATTCAGTACACAATTTTCTATAACGACGAGATGGACGAGTCTCTAGTATCTCTCGGTGTTAATCATCATCCATTAATTTTATAGAAACTACTTGGTTTCAACATGATCAATAGCCATTTTTTAATATTCTTACTTATTCTTCCACTAATAAGCATATAATCTATATATATAATGTTCAGCGGCTGTCTGTCTGTGCGTGTGTCTGTGCCAGGTCAAAGGTTAAAGGTCAAGAAAGGCTATAAGGGATAAGGCTATAAAGGGATAAGACAATAAGGGAATAAGGCTATAAAGGAGTAAGGTAATAAGGGGGTAAGGCTATAAGGGGATGAGCCTTTAAGGAGGACACTATAACGAGGGAAGGCTATAAAGGGGAAATGGTATAAGGTGGTAAGGCTATAAGTGAATAAGGCTATAAAGGAGTAAGGCAATAAGGGGGTAAGGCTATAAGGGAGTGTGGCAATAAGTGGATAAGGCTTTAAGGGAGTAAGGCTATAATGGAGTAAAGCTGTAGGGGAGTAGGGCTATAAGGGAACAAGGTAATAAGGAAGTAGGGCTATTGGGAGTAAGGTTATAAGGGGGAGAGCGATAAGTCGGTAAGGCTATAAGGGAGTAAAACTGTAGAGGAGTAGGGTTATAAAGGGGTAAGGCTATAACGGAGGAGCGCTATAAGGCGTAGATGCTCTAAGGAGATTAGGCTATAAGAGCGTAAAGCTACAAGAGCTACAAGAAATGTAAGGTGGTAAGGCTACATGGGCTATTAGCGATATAAGGATATGACGCCGTAGGGTTTCTATGTACTTAATGTCGAGTGTCTGTGTGTCTGTTACCGAGTGAAAGGTTAAACTTTTGAGGTGGAATGTTAAAGAAGAAAACGCTGCCGTGCAGTATGCACGAGGTCTCGCTAGTATAATATAACGCTTTAGGAAAATATTTCTTATTCTATAAAATGTTTTCTTCTATTTTCAACATTATAGAAAAACATCAGCGATTATCAATCTTACAGAAAGATGGACTTTGTTGATTTAAAAATGAAATGTTATTATAAATTGTTTTATATAATATCGAAAGAAAATTCAACAAGATGTTCGATAAATTAACTTGAGGTTTTCTATAAATTATATGATTTCCAGTGATATATTTTAATTTCAACAGCCTGTTTTCTTTTCTAGCGTAATATTACTTATGTGCTATAAGAACAAAGAGAATCAATCATTTATTTATTTATTTTTATCTGTATTCAGTAGTGAATAAATTTAACCTAGATGTTGATCAATTTTAATAAAGAATATAATACAAATTCATATAAGGCTGAATTTTAAATACTAAAAATCAATATACATGAAAATTTAGGTAATTAAATATAAATTTCTAATAATCTGAAACACTTATTAGTAGATGAATAAACAGGGAGGCCAGAATTTCAGGCCAAGGAATTTTCGGCCTGGAACTTCGGCCCGGGCCTAAATTCCGGCGGCGTTTCGGCCAGGCCGAAATATCACCGGAAATCCGGCCCGGGACTAAATTTATCTCACTGCTTTTAATAAAAAATAGTCTAGCTTCAATGAATAGTTAGCACATTTTCATAGTGCTGAGCAGGACGACGTAATGCTCAGCAGTACGACATAGTGCTGAGCAGGGTAATTTTACATCACTTTATAGTTATAGCATTCTATCAAGCCTACTGCATTTCGAAAGACAGCCCAGTGTGTTAGGAGACAAAACGTAGCGTATACATTATATAGTTGAGATTTAATTCGAGCTATAGATTATAAAAGTAGTGGTTAAACTAATGAACAAATGACTCGATAACTGACAACACCAGGGATAGACAAACAAGAATATGTGCGCATGGTCGATAGAGCGTTTAATGGACTTCTATCAAATTTTTCTCGTGAGATTTCAAGATAAAAAGCTATAAAAGATTTTTAATGTATTCCAAATTTGATCTAACACTACTTATTTATTAAACGTATAAGTCATCTTTAGGTTTTTTTTGTATTTTAATCTATGAAAAAAAGAACATCGTAATAAACAAGTAAATTCACGTTAACCCTTTACGGCCGGATGTTGCCAAAAGGCAACATTGAAAAACTATTTCATTAAGAACTCTTTTAAACCAATGTTGAATGTCATTCTCGTACATCATTTATTAAGGACACATATTGCCCAATTTATTCATCTTTCCTCGAAGTTCAATACCCGTCGCTTTCTAAAAATAGCCTCATAAATGCTTATTGGCCTAGAAAATGAACGTAACTATGATTATCATTGTTTTGAACATCTATTGAAATTCAATATGCGAATCACCTATTCCAAAATTTTTCTTAGTCAATTATTAGTGTGCATAACTACTAACAAAAGGTTATTGGCAATAAAGAAAATAGAAAAAACGAGAATGTTGCCTTTTGGCAACTCCCGGCTGTATGGGGTCAAAACTTTCCAAAATTGTTGTCAATCTTCAGCTCTAATATTTATAGACTCTGTGGCCAATTCTCGATTCTAGGTAGTACTCTAAGAGCATCCTGCTTGTTAATTACTTTATGAAAGTGTCATATCTCGAAAATGAGCCACAATCATGAGACTATTTTTGCATAAGGGACGTGTGGGGTGTAAGTGTGGGTTTGAATGTGGGTGTTTAGGGTGCAAGGGAGAAAAAGCGAGACTTCGTACTACACTGTACTCCTCTCGTACTTCACTGTACTTCAGTTGTACTTCACTGCGCTTCAATCGTACTTCAAATTTTTTTTGAAGTAGATGAAGTCTCGCTTTTTTCCCCTTGGGAAAGGGGGGAGGGGTGTGTGGATGTCAGTGGGTGGGAGTGTGGGATGTACGGTGTGGTTGTGGAGTGTAGGGTGTAGAGACCGTCATGGAGCACTTTTTTATGCCCTGTCCTGCCCTGAAAGCAACCTATTAGTTTCATTTTTGGGTGTGGGTGTGTGGGTGTGGATGTGGATGTGGATGAAAGTAAAGAGAAAATCAACACTAACACCCACACTCATTTGACGAGGTGAAGATGTAAATCGACTATGTTGTGAAAGATCCTATGCAAATCTAAAATCATTTAGAAAAGAAAGATATCAAAACCTGAAATGATGAAAGTAACTTATTAAGTTATATAATCGTCGTTATTCCATCATATATTACATTGAATGTCACTACAAAATTAATGGATAATATCCAGTGAAAATTTCGGATACTGTCGCCATCGAATATAGTTAAAATTTTACATGTGTCGATGAACAAACAATAATATCTATTGATATTTCTTAGAATATCAAAATTATTGATTAGGAAATTTCTCTTTGTTAGCAATCGAATAAATTCATCAGGGCAAAAAAGTTTGTCCTGTCCTGCCCTGATTTGCAGGGCAGGGTCAGAAATGAAAACTCGTCCTGCCCTAGCTCAGGACAGAGCAGCCCTGCCCTGTGACGGTCTCTCGTATGGTGTGACTGTGGGATGTACGTATGGAAGTGGGTGCAAGGATTCACTGCATCGCCACACCCTCACCTACATCCACAAAGGTGTCTCGCCCTCACATACATCCACAGGGGGTCACACCCTCCCGCACATCCACAGAAAGATCGCACCCACCCACACCCCGCACCCAAATACGTAGCATAAGATTATTTTTTCTTAAGCTCTTCTAGGAACCTGTCATAAAAGGATAACAATCTCTTCTGAAAAATTTGACCCCTTTCGGCCGGATGTTGCCTTTTGGCAACATCATGGTATCTGCTTATATCTCATATGTTTGCTCCCCGTATTGAAATTTGGTTATCTCCATGGTTCAGTCTTAAAAAATATGCAGTAAAAGAATTTTTTACTTCACTGCTTCTAGGAGCCGGCCGTAAAGGGTTAACAGTCGGAAGCATAGAAACATGCTTTTGCTCGTATATATATGTCGTGCCTAAGTTACACTGTTTGCCCAAGTTATAACTTCAGCAAACAGTGTAACTTAGGCACGACATATATACAATATATAGCTAAATATAGAGAAGAGACTTGACACAAATGACACTATACCAAGTCTAGTAGTTGAGTGAGTCGATGTGACAAAATGAAACTGAAACCCACCATAAATACCCAAGCTCAAACCCAAACTCTCAAATGGTTTGGCTTTTCGTTTGGATATGGTGCATGCCTGTATACAACCACACTAACGTTCACCCTCTGAATAGTCCCAGTTATTTTTCTGAGAAAAACTGAACATTTAAGCGGAGAAAGTTACTTTACTTTTGCCTTCTTTTAATTTACTCATTGCGATTTTCCCGGAAGACTTTGCAGAAGCATGAAAAAAAAATTTCCCTTTTATGTTTTCAGTTGACTATGTCAAGTATTGCTCTTTATTCTTTTGTCGAAAAGCAAACAGTGAGTCAGAGAAATTACGTTACTTGTCTTTTTTCTTTACTCATTCTGATTTTCCGGGAAGATTTTATAGAAACAAGAAAAAAAACTTTTCTTTTCTTGTTTTCACTTGGTTATACCAAGTATTGCTCTTTATTTTTCTGAGAATCATTGACCAGGTAAGCAGATAAAATTCGGTCAACTTTCTTGTATTTTCTGCACTTAGTGCGAGTGTCCAACTTGTCTCCCTTCGATGACATACCTAGAGTCACACCTTACATCCATGAGCCCCACACTCACACCCACATCCACACCCTTTTTGCTTACGTTTTGTTCTTGGTGCACCTCAGATAATTCTTCTGGAAAAACTTTCTCTCATAGATGTGGATGCGATTTTTTCTTTTATAGAGTAAAATGGGGTGATTTTTTTTTCTACTATTAAATTTCTCTGTTTTCTTGTTTTTATAACTGTTATACAATCAAATAGTATGTGAAAGATTTCATAATGTTTTTTTTAATAATTCCAGTTACAGGACCTAATGAAATTAATTTCAATTTATCAAAAAATGTATTCTATTAATTTTAGCTAAACGTGTACTGGATACAATGAACTTTGATTTACTTCGTGGTCGTCCATTACGTATAATGTTGTCACCATGTGACCCAGCTTTACGTAAATCAGGTGTTGAAAATGTATTTATTAAAGATTTGGATAAAAATATTGATAATAAATCACTCTATGATACATTTTCGGCTCTTGGCAATATATTACCTTGCAAGATAATATTTTTTATGTTAAAAAATCGAATAGATTTTATTTTTGTCATTTCTTTATCTCTAGATTATGACAGATGAAAATGGTCAATCGAAAGGTTTTGGTTTTGTTCATCTTGAAACGCAAGAAGCAGCCGATAACGCGATTAATAAAGTTAATGGTATGTTATTAGCTGACAAAAAAGTTTATGTTGGTCGTTTTATGTCATGTAATCAACATTCTGATGCTGGTGGACCATGTAAATTTACAAATATATTTATAAAAAATTTCGGTGACCAATTAGATGAAGAAAAATTACGTGAACTTTTTGCAAAATATGGTAAAATAACAAGTTGTAAGGTACAATATATTAAAACCATAAAAAGACGGAGATTATTCTTTTTCTTCTTAAATATAAAGGTCGTTACCGATGAAAGTGGTCATTCAAAAGGTTTTGGTTTTTGTAGTTTTGAAACTTCTGAAGAAGCTGAACAAGTAATTTATGAAATATTTTATATTATTATTATATCTTAGTTTTATTCAAATATAGGCTGTTCAAAATTTAAATGGTTATTCAATAGGTGACAAACAACTTTATGTTGGATGTTTTCAAAATAAAAATGAACGTTTATCAGAATCAAAACATAAAAACGATTTACAACAAGAACGTATGAAAAAATATCAAGATGCTAACTTATATATTAAAAATTTGGATGACACTTTTGATGATGAACGCTTGAAAAAAGAATTTTCAAAATTTGGTACAATTACAAGTGCTAAAGTAAATATTTATTGACATGTTTTTGTTACTTTTAGAATAATCATTGTTTTATTCTTATCTGTGTAGATTATGACAGAAAGCGGTCGATCAAAAGGTTTTGGTTTCGTTTGCTTTAGTGCACCTGATGAAGCAACAAAAGCAGTTACAGAAATGAATGGTTCTATTGTTGGTTCTAAACCACTTTATGTTGCATTGATGCAACGTAAAGAAGAACGTCGTATGGATTCAACTAAGCAACATATGCACCATATGGTAGCATCACATGTGGCGCCACCAATTCAATTACCATTTCCAAATAATATGGCCGGCATGATGTCATATTTACCAACACCAATAGGTCCATCACAACCACGCAACTTCTATCCACCACCAGCATTACCAACATATCGACCAACACCATGTTGGGCAAGAGCAGCAGCAGCCGCTGCTATAAGATCACAACCAGGTATAACTAATATCATAAAATGATACGTGAAATAAAAATCTTCGAGTATAAGATGCGAACATTTTTTTCTGATAAAGATGATTTAGTGAGACTGTCTATCATTTCATAAGCTATCTATCTCCAGTTATGATGGTTTTATTACTTGAGGCAAAACAGATGTGTCTTCAAAATATATACATATTGGAAATGTTCGTCTATGTCGAACTTTCCTTCCGGCATTTATCAGATCTAGAGATAGTCTAAGTTTCATAAATAGATTTTTTCATAGATATCTTGTAAGAATTTAAAGAACGACTAGCCAAATTCAAGAAAAATAGTGTATGGAAACAAATTCTTCTAAAGGTTTAGTGTTACGAAGAGTTAGTTATGGGCCAAACATAGATGCATTACACTTGAAATCAATATTTTGAAAGAAAAATATTTTTTTAATTAGGTGCACAAATGATTACTGATATGCAAATGCCACAATCAATGGACGCCGCTCAACATCGAACGGGTGGAATGACTAATCTATCAGCACGATCAGGAATGCCAATGGGAGCACGACCGACACCAACACCAGATCAAATGATAGCTGGTGGTGCTGTTCAACCACAAACCGGTGTACAACAATATACAGCTTATACATGTACAGCACGAAATTTACCGCCAAATGTAAAATTTTGTTTTGCTTTTGATTTTTCTAAACAAAATAATAATTTTTTTTCTTTATAATAGAATGCCGGTGCTTTTCCTAATTCAATTGTTGTTGCTGGACAAGAACCATTAACACCAGCTGCTCTTGCTAATGCAACACCACAAGAACAAAAACAAATGTTAGGTGAACGCTTATTTCCATTGATTCAACAAATGCAACCAGATTTAGCTGGTAAAATTACTGGTATACTACTCGAAATTGATAATACTGAACTTCTTCATATGCTCCAATCGCCTGAATCACTTAAGGCTAAGGTTCGTTTGTTTTCATTGATAAATATCATTAATAGAAAATTATCTTCATGTTTTCTATTAGCTTGAAGAAGCTATTGCCGTACTTCAAGCCCATCAAGCTAAACAACTTGACGCAGCTAAACAAGCCACAACCAATTCAGCTGCCTCATAAAAAAATTCAATGTCGTCATTTACAAAACAAAAAAAAAACATATAAAAAAATTAACAAACAACCACATTGAGACATATACACACGTTGATTGTCTTTTTATGTTCTATTTCTCCTTTTTTTCATAACATGCGCAGTTCGATTATTTTCGTGCATTTTTGTTAACTTTCGCTTTTTTTACTTTTGTTTCATTTACTACTGTTTGTTCTTAACACGGAAGTGCAAAAATACGTTGTACGTTATAAAATCATTATCATCACTATTAGATCAAGAAAAAGAGGGTTTTATGAAAATACTCTTGTTTTCGTTTTTTCTTCTGTTTGTTGTGTTTTTGCGAATGTATGCATATTATTATCGTCATCGACTACTCAGTAAGGCAAATAAAACAAATATACATATGAGCCAGTCCACGTAAGCCACGACCGAAGTTGCTCAATCGATATCATCAGAACTTGCTCAATTTAAGATATGTTATAAAGGGAAGAGTTTTATGATTTTTGACGCAAGCCGATTCAAAAAATATTGAACCTTCGATTTTTTATGAGCATTTTACGAAAAGGCCTAAAAATGACCATATATATAAATGGGGTCCTAATGCAATGATATCTCACGAATGGTTCAACCAAATGAGCTGAAATTTTTTATTACCATATATCTCAGTGAATTCTATTTACCATAAAATTTTCGTTTTCAAATATTGAGTCGTTGGGGTTCTATGAAGCACTCAATATATGGAAAACGGTCCATTTATGATAACTTTGGCACTTCATAACTTTTGATTGGAATGATATATGGCTCTCAAATTTTTTCTGTTAATAGGACAGTGAGATATGTATCTCTCCTGAAAATTTCAGCTATCCATACCGTTCCATTTGCTCAGGGCAGGCCCGTGAAAAACAAAATTTTGATAAATGTCGGGACTTTCAGGATAGGCTTTCTCCCAAGATATGGATTGTCTGGGACGTTGGTTATTAGAACTTTGAAGTATTCTCTTTGAGCTACAATTCTGTAAAAAAAATGAGCAAGGGATCTCCAAGAATGGACCCAGGGCACTCATTGCAAAATGCGAAAAAATGAGCCTTTTCTATGAGTTTTTTCAAGTCAACAGAAATTTATTGAGTTATACTCATAAACATTAATATGGACAGTTTTTTCCTTTTTTTGAATATATTTTTGATTTATTTATAATCTTTATTATTGTTTTTTATTATTGATATCAGGGTGTCCGGAAAGTTCGTAGAACTGTATCCTAATTGCATGTATGAAATGTTTAGTTCATGTTATTGTGCAAAAAGTGAATTTTCAACATGGCATAGATCTTTTTCTCGACTGATTGTATCATTTTGTGGAAATAATTAGTTTTCACAACCGTGTCTATCAAAAAGAATTAGTTGAGCGGTCGGAAATAGACAACGAAATAAATGGTACCAAACTTCAATAAAATGCATTTCAAGATTTTAAAAATCATTGATAATTTCATTTTAAGGTTATTTGAGTACCACTCGATATCATCATAGGATGAATAACGGAAGCAAAAAGTGGCACGTATCGCTACCGAAAGAGAAATATGTGTAAAACGAAAGAATAAATACTTTCGAAAATAT